AGCATAATTTGGAGTATATTTCAAATACTTCAAAACTCGTTTCATTGTCATGAACGTTTAATGCAAACTTCCTTATGTTGTAGACTAATATGTCTCGACTTCCGATTGCATATCATATTATTGACTACACTTAATGTAGTAATTATAACAACAGCTGGAATGATTGGCATCAGTTGTGGCCACAACCTTTTAATATATAACACATTTCGCAATCATTCAGCCATTTTCAAGATTTGTATGCTATTCATTCATACGTCTATATGATATGCAAATTATAGCACCTTCATTCATGAAACAAATCCAACTTGCAATAGATTTTGATCATGTTCATCGGTTGGTTCACGTCATTATAGACCAACATATTAATACGTTCGTTCATGAACGGTCATGTTTATACAAAACATACAAACACATCTTTCTATGAAAATTCACAACCTTCAAAGTGACATCATTCATAAAAGAACTAAACAATATAAATTTTCAATAAAGAAAATGATCTTTCGAGAAAGGCACGTGACCAACTTCCGAATTAGTAGTTTCATCAACTAGTCTTCATTAAGACTAAACAGTTGATGAATTTACCAACTACCATATCAATGGGGTTCAAAAATTATATCACTTAGACATTACGTCTAACATTGGCTTTTGTCATGCATAAGCTAAAAGCCCCCACATTTTAAATATTTCATCAATATATCATCTACATATAATCAAATAATGACTATATGACTTGAAGTATTCTTAATGTAAACACAATTATTTACACTCATTAATTTTTGAAACCATTTGACAATATTATTTGGTCAAATCTCGCATGCCATCGTTTGGGTGCTTGTCTTAGTCTGTAAAGTGACTTAACAAGTCGACACACCTTCTTTTCTTTTTCAGGAACCACAAACTTTTCAGGTTGTTCCATTTAGATTTCTTCATCCAAATATCCATTTAAGAAGGTTATCTTTACGCCCATCTGATGGATTTCAAGGCCATACACGACGGCTAACGCTATTACCATCCGAATAGATGTAATTCTCGTTACCGGTAAGCATGTGTCAAAGTAATCAAGACCTTCTCATCGTCTTAATCCTTAATCAATCTTGCCTTATATTTGTCAATAATACCATCAGCTTTTATTTTCCTTTTGAAAATCCACTTAGAATCCAAAGGTTTATTTCCTGGAGGAAGATCAACCATTTTCCCAAGTACGATTACTTAATATGGATTCTATCTTACTATTGACAACTTCTTTCCGAGGAAGACATACTTCTTCCAAAGTTTGAAGCTCATTTTCTAACAAGAATGTCAGAAAATATTATCCAATGGAAGCAGTTGTCCTTTGACGTCTTGGATTCACCTCATTAGGTGTACTTTCCTTTGCTTCTTCCCGAGTTCGCTTAGATTTTCACTAGACGACTCACATTTCTTTTTATACGGATAAATATTCTCAAAGAATTCAGCATTATCTGATCCGATTACCGTATTAATATGAATGTCGGGATTTTACGATTTATGAATCGGAAAACAATATGCCTTACTATTTCTTGCATATATTATAAAAACCGAATCAACAGTTTTCGATCCAATTTTTATCCTTTTGGGTTTAAGAACTTGCACTTTACCCAAATACCCCCCACACTTGGAAATATTTCAAGTTGGATTTTCTTCTTTTCCATTTTTTTTATATGGAATGGAATGTGTCTTGCTATGGGGAACGTGAATGAGTATTCGGTAAGCTGTAAGCATAGCTTCCCCCCCACAAGTTTTGGGTAAACCAGAACTTATCAACTAGGCATTTATCGTCTCCTTTGACGTTCTATTCTTTCTTTCCGCAATTCTATTAGATTGCGCAAAGTAAGGGGCAATTGTTTGGTGAATAATGCCATATTCCAAACATATTTCTTCAAACGCCGCCTCTATTACTTTGTAGAGCCAACCACATGAACTGTTGTTTGTGTCATAATAGAGTCAGAATAAATGCTGAAGTTTTTAATCTTCAAACCAATCTGACACAATCAGAATTAATAAACGGTGAAGTTTTTAATCTTCTAACCGAGTAATACCTGATACCGGATCTAATAAACGGTGAAGTTTTTAATCTTCAAACCGAGTAATATGTGACACAATCAAATTTAATAAACGATGAAGTTTTTAATCTTCAAACCGAATAATAAATTAGAGTAGAAAATCACTAAGATTTTAATCTCCAAAACGAGTATAAAGTCACTTAGACTTTAATTTCCGACAAATGAATAGAAAGTCACAAAGACTTTAATCTCAACAATCGAGTAAAAAATCACGCAGATTTTGATCTCGAAGCAGGAGTAAAAAATCACGAAGATTTCAGTCTCCATATAACACTTTACGAGAATTTTAATTCCCTTTCCAAATGGTTTTCCAACTAAACCGTTATAACACATTAAACAGTTTGATCTCTTTCTTTAATCAAACACATATATGTTCATCTTTACATATTTTATATTCATGATCTCAAGATACTTCAAGTATTACTGTAAGCCTATTCATGTCTTACAACCTTGAATATAATTTCATGCATACTAACCAACAAATCAATTTTATTTGGTAAACAAAATAACAATTTTCCTTCAACAATATGTTATTCTTAATCCCAACACGCAAATAAGATATATTTTGAGATCATCACATAATAAACATCTTCCCTAACATTTACAAAATTAAATTTCATAAATCACATAGGGTAGAAGATTAATTGAAAAAGAATAGAGTAAGAAAGTATAACCCGATTTTTATCAATTTATAAATTAATCGTGGTCTGCAATCAGGAATTCCTCCACTTTACTTTCTACCACCCATATGCGCTTCAGAAAAATTCCAATAGCTTTGAGATCTTGTGTACTTTTAATTTCACCACGGTTGAACACTCCAAATTGACATGAGTGCTCGATGATAATATCTTTCCAACCGTATGCTAAAGAAGTCCTCTAATTGCATCCAGTAGAGGAACCAAGTCTTTCTTAAAACTTAAAAGTATCACATTGTCCCTTGAAAGTGTCAAAAATGCAATATGTAGTAACAAGGCAGTTTTGTTTTCATCAAAGTGACGCAACAGTTGCCTCACCGTCTACCTTCAAACGAAATTAATTACCTTTCGCAATAGTGACACTGAGCCAACATACGCATCGTCTAGGCAAAAAGAAAAGAGAGGTCAATTTGAAATCGACTCACTTCTATTAAATGATGAACACAGAAAAGTATTAAATTCCTTAAGATTGTTGGTATTACTATGTTCAAAATCATTAAAGTAAACAAACGTTAGTTCAATAAACAAAACGTAAAAAATAATTCCGAGCCCACTGAATGCACAGTGTGTCCTTAAGGAATTTAATCCCCTCACTGTTGCCCAAGGTATACGGATTAATTCCTCCCAGGATAGAACGGAATAACTATTCTGTGATAGCGGCACTTCAAATCACAGAACTTCAGCGAACTCAACAAACGGAGCAAATCACACTTGACACTTATGTTTATTTAGAAAATAATGCAACAATGTAGAAAAGAGGGGAAAAGATTTCAGATTTTTCATGTCTGAAAAATGAGGCCAAGCCTCTAAATTTATAGACAAAGGAAGGGTGATATGGAGAGGTGCAATCTAAAAGGTGCCTCTTCCATTTCCCATTCACACCCCTTAATAAAAACGCAACACATATGTTGTATCAGGAGGCTTAATCGTTACCACTTACTAAAGCTTATCTTGTTAACATTTGCATATGATTTCATTTCTACGAAGTAGTAGAAAACATGCCTTTGAGGAGGTTTCAAGTTGCTACCATCTCCATTATCTAATGTTTATTTACTTACTTTTCGATAAGCAAGATATCCACTATCTCATGTATTAATGAAAGACTATTAGCTTTTCTGAACTATAATTTTGGTTGATGACTCCCAATCAAGAAGCTTATATAGTGCCCTTTACGAGGTTCATGTACATTTTGAGGTGGTTTTGATAGTTCTCCTTTGATTTTCTTGCAGGCGGATATCAAAAAAGCACTAGGGGAAGTGTGAGAGGCTGTCAGGTAACAGATAGTTCAGTTGATGAACTCATTTGTATAAATAAAAAGAGAGGATGGAGATTTCTTCCATGTTCTGTTTGTTCAACCTGCTTGTGCTCTTGTATATTGTGTTATCCAGGGAACAAGGTTTCAATTGTCGCGTGTCTCCTCCCTCCCTCTCACCTCAATGTAATTTGTATTGAATACAGTATATAGTCTCTGTTTCATGGTTAAAATGTATAACTTCTATTATTTTTATTCTTGGGCGCGCGCATTCATGGTGAGAACCTGTCACAGGCAGTTGCAGGTAAAAGTAATTGCTTAAGATATAGCTTGCAGTTTAAACTGTCCAAGCAAGTTGCTCATGATAACATCAATTATAACTGCTGCTGTTGTTATGGCAATTGAACTTGGTCGGATACGAATCATTGATTCCCTATAACGCTCTTTTGATCTCTGAATCAAATGGGCGGGTTGGACTGATTTTTGGCCGGTCAAAATGGGCTGAGTCAATAAATGGGCAGGTCAAAAGTTACTTGCGCTGAGATGGACTGGGTCAAGATGGACTAAAATTATGGATCAATTTGCACTAAAAATCAGCCAACTTTAGATAGGTTGGGTCAAGATGGACTGAGTTCAACAATGGGGGTGGTGGTGAGGGGGGTGGGTGAATGAGCAACCCAACCTTGAGCGGGTTGGGCGGACTGAATGGGTCTGGGTTCAAATTGTCACCCCTAAATTGAATTAAGAAAATCTTGATAAGATTTGAGAGTGATTGTGAATGAAATCGAAGGAGATTGAGAGTTTAATGTAATGATAATTCGAATGCTTATTCTTTTTGTTAGAAAATCAAAATATTTCAGACTGCTCTGCCCATCTATTACATTTAGAATCTCCAAGCATCGATGAGATGAAAAATAGTACTATATATTATATAACAAAATGCGATACAATGAGTCGTACTACATTTAAACCTTTAATTAGGAGGTTAACAATTAAGCTCTATATCCCGTCATAAATATCCTTACTTATTGACTATTAATATACTGATCGGAGTCTGTCAAACTTGCCAACATATGCCATTTTAATTATTAATAAAACATAATTATCTGAACGTACTTCAGTCAGGAAGGTAGTGAAATAGGCATCATGGAGACTGCGGTGACTTCTCATTTTCATACCTAATCCTCGAACTACACTTGAAAGTGACACTGCAAGATGCATCAACCACAGCAGTATACTGGTGAATTGGCTTAGAAAGGAAAGGAGGCAAATGAGCCAATAGGGCACAAACACATTCGCTATCGATTGATTTCATCCACCTACAACATTCTTCTTCTACAGGAGTTTCTTCATACTCGGAGCTCGTAAGAAAAGGAGGTGACGGTTGTGTCTCGGGTGAAGGGGTAGGAGGGGTAATGGATGGTGGAGATGGTGGAGGCAATGGAGTATATGGCAAAAATCGACATGCATGGTTAGCAAGTGTAAATTGATGGAGACAAAGTGGACGTGTGACAATAGGTGGCCAAGGCATAAATTGGCTATTTGATCCTCCTAGGTTAAGTAGTAGGAGTACCAAAGTTAATAAAATCTCTGGGATCATGTTCTGTCTGTTCATTTTTGCTTGTAATGTTGTGACAGATAGCAAGGAAAAGTTAGATACTTACCCAGAATTAATCCTATGTTAGTCTTATATAATGACATTGTTGCGTTCATAATCTTTATGTGTTGTCACAGTAGGTATTTTTTTCTGGTTGTGCAAGTAAAGAAGACAAAAGGGGGGTGAGTAGGCCTCATTCTTTTTATGTTTAACAGCATTTCTTTTAATCAGCTAACGATAAATTAGGGGGTATAAATGTAACAATTGAGACAACTAAAAACTTCCTAACTGCGCGAAATTGATAAGTAAACAAAACTTTACAAAACCAGTTTGAAATTGAATATTTTTACTCTGTCAAATCTAATTGTATTTGACTAATATAATAATGTGGTTTAAGAGTTCATTAAGTTCTATGTATAAAAATATCTTTACACCATCAATTTAGTTTAACCTGGTTACTAATTACAACTACTATCATTTATTTTAGGTTAACAACCAATGATTATTAAAATATTTTACATTGTAATTATATATGATTCAAACTCTTAATTTGTGTATGCAATAAACTTTGCCATTATGTTTTCTACAACAACGTAAAATTTTACTAGTGGAGTCAATATTTATGTAGGGCGGGTGCATGTTTATTTATGCAAGGCGGGTGCATGTTTATTAGCTTGGAATTTCTTCGAAGTACCAACAATTACAGGTTCCATGATAATCCAAATTCAAGCTCATTTACTTGAGACAACTAGCACTCTGATTATTCCAAAGGGTAAAACCATTATATACTCCCTCTAGTTCATTTTGTCACCTTTCCGTTTTATTTCATTTTACAAAAATGATACATTTTTACAAATAATCAAAAACCAAATTAACTTTTGATATCCAATCTTACACATACTTTATTAATCGTTGAAGTATCATGACATGTTTGTACATGGTAAAATATGCTATGCTACGTGGCCGTCCAAAAGAGAGACACGTGGAGCCCAAGATGGGGGATGGCCAAGATCGAAAGCAATTGTTGCGTCTATCACCAGGAAGATAACGCTTATAAGGATGTAATAAATACTCTTCGCCCGGTAGCATTTAATAGAGAATCTTCCATAGTATTAAGTACGGTTGCCCGTTACAAGGAATTTGGTATTTATGCTCACCGTTACATCTTCATCAATGACCCTCGTAATTGACATTAAAGAAGGGCACGATCCTAGGACATCCTTCCCTAGACGTAGCTATAAATAGTGAGCTCTGTTATCATTGTAAAGGGGACGATTTTTCTAACAAATCAATACTACAATCTACCAAAAGCTCTATACAACTTTATCTTCTTATTTTTCGATTTCATTACTGTTGTGTCCGGAAGCTTCGCTCCCGGAATTACTCTTTTTGCTATTTCATCCTCATCTCAAGGCTAATTATTGCATATTTCTTCAATTATCTTATTATTTCAGGATCAAATTAATTACTTGTCTAGAAATCACGTATAAATTCAACTGTACCGTTTTACGGGTAAACAGTTTCGCGCCCACCGTGGGGCCTAGACAGCCGTGCAATTAAATTGATCCTTACCTTTTTTTACTAACGTGTTTTGATTGTTTTGTCTTAGAAAAAATCATAAAAAATGGCAGATAACAGTGTTAACAACACGCACAGTCCCGAGCTTCGAAGGGATTAACCTCGTTTCGAGGACTCAATCAGTGACACCCACAACGAGGAGAATGACGCCACGCCGATGCATGACAGACAATATCCTCGACATGTTCGGGAGACAACTCCTGATGATGCTGAGGAGGAACATGTCGTTGATGCGGTAAGGGTCCTGCAAGAACAACATGCAATCATTCTAGGCCACCTCACGCGAGAGGATAAGGTTATGACGGAGTTGAAGCAGGGGTTGGGGGGGGGGGGCTTCGAATAATGTGAATAGACGAGATCCAATTCCTCCCAGCGCTCCCGCGAATCAAACAACGCAGAGGGTCGACAACAACACCCCGAGGGGCAGCTGGCTCCGATGGGGCTAGGGGGAGCGAATCCGGCGCCAATAACGAAAACAATCCTTTCAAGAATGAACTCTTACGGTTTATGAGGGGAGTGAACGCCCGCATGGACCAAATCCCAGGCGCCCCACCAGTGCTGAAAGATCCGGACTCAAAGAAGCATACTCAGTTGCCATACAAGCCAAGTGCTGCACCAGAATTAATCCCGAAGTGGTTTAAAATGCCTGATGTGCCAAAGTATGATGGAACTTTAGACCCTTAGGAGCATATTACCACCTATATAACGGGGTGAAGGGAAATGATTTAGCTCCTCACGAAATTGAATCTGTTTTGCTGAAGAAATTTGGAGAGACTCTCACGAGGGGATCCTTGACGTGGTATTCACTGTTACCCGAGCATTCCATAGACTCCTTTTAGATGCTCGTGGCCTCTTTCATCAAGGCTCATGCCGGGGCCAGAAAAGTATAGGCCCGAAAGGCCAACATATTCAGGATTTCGCAAGGATAATTCGAGTTGCTACGAGAGTTCGTTACCCGATTCCAAAAGGAGAGAATGTTGCTCCTGACTGTCCTGGATGAATGGGCGGCTGAAGCATTCACCAAAAGACTGAATCTGAGAAGTTCATAGGCTTCCTGGATATTGAAGGAAAGCCTGCTTGAGTTTCAAGCAATGACTTGGGCGGATGTCCACAAGCGGTACGAATCAAAGATAAGGATCGAGGATGATCCGGTTGGCTTCCATCGCCGACCAAAGGATGAGAGAATAATAGAGAAAAATCAAAAGACAATTTCGGCATGGACATACGGTCTTCAAGGGGCCGATTTTTGCCCTACGGACCGAAGGCTACGGCGGAGGCTTTTAGAAATCAGACAAGTTCGCCATCGACAGAAGGATTAATCGCGGTCGGAACAATAGATCACTGCAGGATAAAGAGCGTCAGGATCACGGGGTCCTTCCCACCCCAAGTTATCAGACAACGTCACTGTAGTAGAGTTAGTGTCAGCCATGAGAAACATCAAAGAAGCACGGTTCCCGAAACCAATGAGATCTGATCCCACCCAGAGGGATACCAACTTGTAGTGTGAATACCACAGGATGAATGGCCAACGAATATGGGACTGCCGACACCTCCGGGAAGAAGTGGCCACACTGCTGAAGAATGGTCATCTCGAAGAATTCTTGAGTGACCGAGCTAAGAACAATTATGGTCGTAATCGGGACAACGCGGAACCTCGAAAGCAGGAGAAGATCCCTCGCGCCAAATGATCAACATGATCTTCGGAGGGAATGAGATCAACGGGGTCACCTTTTCGGCAGCAAAAAAGACGAAAGTATCAATAGCCCATAGCAAAAGACTCCGGGAAGTTGCCAAAGACAATATCACTTTCACGGAGGAGTACGCAGACGGATTGCTGCTGCCGCACAATGAGGCACTGGTAATTTCTTTAAATGTGCTAGATTTAAGATTAAACGTGTTCTAGTGGATCCAGAAAGTTCGACCAATATCATACGATGGAGAGTATTGGAGCAAGCTAAACTCACCGGAAGCATTATTCCGGCCACAAAGCTCCTCGCCGGATTCAACCTAGCGAGTGTGACAACCCTAGGAGAGATTTTATTACTCACAAACGCCGAAAGAGTAATGAAAATAACTCTCTTCGAAGTGGTAGATGGTGATATGGGATATAACATTATTGGGAAGGCCATGGTTGCACGAGATGAAAGCTGTACCATCAACATATTATCAATTGCTGAAGTTTCCAATGCCCGAAGGAGTTAAACAGATAACAGGTGACCAACTGGCGGCAAGGGAGATGAATGCAATATCGATCTCCAGTAGCAAAGAAAAGGAACATGCCACATAGCAATTATAGGAACCGGCACCTGCTATCGAACTAGATAAAGTTAGCCCGGGGGCAGAAACGTCAAAATATTATCAGGTGCTGAGGTATTTCCAGGTTCCAGAAGAGACGGATGCAACAAAATACACAGCGGAAGAGCTTGAGCAAGTTGCATTGTTCGAAGAATTCCTAGAAAGGAAATTCCACTTGGGGACAGGACTGCACTTGGAGCTCAGGTCTGGCTTTATTAAATTCTTAAATCTAATGTCGATTGTTTTGCATGGTCGCATGCGAATATGACAGGTATCCCGATGAAGGTAGCCGTACACAAGTTAAGTTTGGATCCCAACATACCTCCGGTAAGACAAAAAGAAACGCCCTATTTCGAAGCCAGGAATAAATTCGTCAAAGAAGAGGTAACTTGCTTACTTAATATCGATTCGATCTGAGAGGTAAAGTATCCATACTGGCTCACTAATGTAGTAGTAGTTCCTAAGAAGATCAATAAATTTCGTATGTGTGTAGATTATAAAGATTTGAATAAGGTGTGCCCAAAAGACTCGTTCCCACTGCCAAACATCGATCAAATGATTGATGCCATGGCCGGGAACGAGTTAATGAGTTTCCTCGATACTTATTCCGGGTACAACCAAACTAAGATGACCTGGACGATCAGGAAAAGCCTTCGTTTATAACGAATTTCGGTACATATTGCTATAATGTGATGCCCTTCGGGTAGAAAAATGCCGCAGCCACTTATCAACGGGTCGTGAACAGGATGTTTGAAAAATAAATAGGAAAAACAATAAGTTTATATAGACGATATGGTCGTTAAGTCTATGAATACAGGTGATCACCTTAAACATCTGCAAGAAACTTTTGACATCGTAAGGAAGCATAATATGAAACTTAACCCCGAGAAATATGCGTTCGGAATTAGATCTATTTCTAGGATTTCTGGTATCGCAAAGAGGAATTGAGGTAAACCCCGATAAGATCAAAGCCATCGAAGACATCCCAGACCAACTTTCAAGCGAGAAGGAAGTTGATAACTAGGGACTTTGATGCATTTTATACTCCCTCTTGCTTATGTTTTGATTGGAAATTCGTACAAAATAGTCCCAAAAGGCTCACAAGTTGTGCTTGATTGCAGGTTTGATCAACAAAGTGACAAGATGTCAAAGATCA